ATACTCTGGTTTAGATCTGACAGATCCTCGTGGTTTCATGTTAAACCAACATTAAATATCCACTGTGTTGCTCCTCACAGCTGAGGCAACTTCAGAATCCAGGGAATGAATTTGTAACTTTATTATTTCACCACAAAAAGCTGACTAACTGTTTTAGGGAGGAGAAAACTGTTAATAAAATTAGGTAAAAAACAATTATGGCCAGAAAAAAAATATACTGAAGGAGCTCCAATATTTCTTTCAAAGTGAAACATCTTGATTTTTCATTTCAGATATTTTGGTAAGAGACATATTTCCTAATTATTTTTTCCTCTTCCCGAGAAATTGCCTTTCCCAGGATGAGTGTGGAGCAGGGAAAGTGTTGCATCAAAGCCCAGCATATTCCAGACACGATAAATTTCGGGAAGATTTCTATCACCAGCTTTTGGGGAAAGATGATTCATTCATCTCTGCAGCTTCATCGCTTGCTCTAAATTTGGGATATTGATTTTATTTAATGGGATGCAGCTGGTAAATTCAGACATAAGAGAACAGATTTTCTGGAATAACACTTCCAGCTTGAGAGCTTTGGATCTGTTCTGCAAACTGAATATCAAACCTCACACGTATTTCACTGCTAGGGAAGCACTTACACGAAAAAAAATTAGGAAAACTTGAGTAAAAAAGAAGGAAACAGAACAAAAATTAGCCTAATTTTTTAGGGTGATCCATTGTGGCAACGCTCCCAAGAAAAGCTTTAATTATAAATTTTTTTCTGAGGCTGAATTTGGATGCTTAAAGGTCGTAAAACCAAGGAAAGGCTTGGGATAAAAGGGAGCTTAAAGATCCTCTCGTTCCAAGGTCCAGAATTACAGATTCCTCGGATCCAAATCTCAGTTTTGTCACTTGGATCAGCCACACTGGGCTTGTGACAGCGCAAAGTTTTCCTGAAATTAATTAATTAATACGCTCATAAATACATTCATAAATAAAATAAAATACTCATGTATAATATAAATATAATATACTCTTAAATAAAAATACTTACAAATACAACTCCTGAATATACATCTTTAAGTGCAGCAAATCCTATCCCAGTAAGGCACTTTAGTGCTATTTAAAAACTCCTCACACTGACAAAAGGGATATTTTTGACTTTTTTGGTGACATCTGCAAGAATTCTCTTTTTACCTTTTCATCTTCGAGTGCGAGAAATGTAATTTACCACTTACATTCCCGTTTTGTAATTTTTTTCTGCAGTAGTTGGGGTCGTATTTAGTAATATTTGCTGTTGGGCAAGATAAATATCAAAGGAATGTACATCAATCACATTGTAAATTAAAGGGAATTCATATTTTCCATTTCCGTGCTGCTGAAGCCTCAGAATGACTCTGAATTTACCAGCAATTAGCTGGGTTGTTTTGCCCCTGTTTTGACACGTTGTACATGATTTTGATTTAAAAGAACTCAGGTTTTAAGATGTGTTTGCACAATTGAATGAATGTCCCTGGAAGGGGTTGCTTTGCTATCGGAATTGTTATTTAGGAGGGTTCTAACGGCCCAAAAGTGGGAGGTGGCAGGGTAAGAGAAGCACAGTGAGGGCATGAAAAACAAATTAATACTATAAAAATAAAATTTGATCAGTCACAAGGCGCCGAGTTTGGGAACAAAGCAAAGGGGGGATTTTAATAAACACGGGAAGAGCAGGAGGAGGTTGAGACAAGAGTCATGGAAAAATGACTTCGTGGAGAGGTGCTCCTGTGGGATAGAATATTCCATTTTATTTCATAAGGAGAAGGTTGACAGTGAAAATATATTTTTTTGAAAAGGAGTAAAGCAGGGAAAATAACAGCTCCATCAAAACACACGTACCTCAGGATAATCTGGGAAGGAGACAGACATGGAAAATAAATAAATAAATAGAGAGATAGATAAATAAACCCGGAATGATTAGAAGAGGAAAGTTTGATGTTACCCACAGCAAAGAATAACTCTGTATTGTACACCAGCTGAAAAGTTGGGATTGCAGCTTTTAGAGGTGCAGACATCCAGCAGGTCGTTCCCTCAGGGAAGATGCTGATGGTGGTTGTGACTTCCTGGAGAAAACACTCCAAGCATCACCTCATGAGCAGCAGGAATAATCCACACCATGATAAAATCATTCCCAGCCAACTTGTGCAACCAGGCCTTTCCAGGATTATGAGGCAGTGCCAGGACATTAGTTCACCCTGGATGCTGCAATCGTGGAATTCCATGGAATTCCAGGAGCACAGACACCACCTTGTTTCTCCGGAACCCACAGGATGTGGGCTATGCCCACGGATAAAAGCAAATCCACAGCGGAATTCTCCACAGAAATGGGTGCCAGAGATCTCATCCATCAACCCAAACTAAATGAAATAAGGCTCAAAAAGGGAGCTGGTGAAATCTTGAGTCACTGTGGCATGAGGGAAGGATGGAAAATTGATTTCCTCGGGGGCTGAGGCAGCAGCAGGAGGGAGGAGGGAAAAGGGCTGTGCAGTGGGGTAGGAAATGAGTGTTGCAGACAGAAAGGGGAGGCTGAAGCAATGACTGCTGAGACTCATCCGTCGAGGATTTTATCACCACATCCATCTGTTTGGGTTTGGAGAGGAATTTAGGATAATACTGCAAAGCAGATGAATGAGTGGGGTCAGGTTTTGTGGGACCGGAGGTGACTGTACGACCAAGGACATATTCCACCACCACCCAGTGTCCAGGGGGATAAGACAATATTTGGGTTTCCAAAGAATATCCCTGTATTCCAGTACAAAATCTGACACACCACACAAAATGAGGGGTGGGAGAACCTGGGGCTGAGATTCCAGGGGGCCAGCCCAGGACATGGCAGGGGAGAGGTTTGTCCTAAACTGTGAATATCCTTTTAAATGAGTGTTGCTGACAGAAAGGGGAGCCTGCAGCAATGACTGCTGAGATCCATTTGTCGAGGATTTTATCACCAGGTCCATCTATTTGGGTTTGGAGAGGAATTTAGGATAATACTGCAAAGCAGATGAATGAGTGGGGTCAGGTTTTGTGGGACCGGAGGTGACTGTACGACCAAGAACACATTCCACCACCACCCAGTGTCCAGGGGGATAAGACTTGGATTTCCAAAGCATATCCCTGTATTCCATTACAAAATTTGACACACCACACAAAATGAGGGGTGGGAGAACCTGGGGATGGGATTCCAGGAGGCCAGCCCAGGGCACGGCACAGGCAGAGGTTTGTCCTGACCTTTTCCATATCCAGGGCATTGGTCTGCAGTTCTCCACAGGTGCCCTCTGTCCACCTGGGATCCCTGTCCCATGGTGGGCACAGCTCTGGGTCCTTCTGAAAAGGAAAGCAGGTCTTAGCCTGTTTTTTGGGAAGGAGCTGCTGGCAGTGCCATAATTCCACATCCCAGGGGGTTGGAAGGTGTCAGACTCCAGGAACCCGGAGCAAACACTGGGAGACAGAGCCTGCAGAGGTAGCTCCTGGTTCTTCAGGGATTGTCCCTTTTCCCTGCCCTCCAGGACCTGCCCCAGGCTCTTTATGTGCTTTCCACAGCTGCATCTGTGCAGTTGGACCCCACAATCCTGAAGGTCTCTTCCAACCTGGGTGATCCTGGATTGCTGCAGCCACTGGCCAAGCCAGTTCAGTGCCTTCCAGCTTTTCCATAGTTTAGTTCCACCCCGGGGCTAATAATAAATTCCTTTTTTAATGCATCTACCAGGAACATGGATCAGAAACAGCACATCAGGAGCACAGAGCAGGACACATTTAATGATGCTTTGTAAGGCCAATTTTCCCAAAGAATCCGTGGACCTGGCCAGATTTTCCCAATTATTTGTGCCCAAACTCATGGGAGTGTTTTGCTTCTGAAGACTCACCACCTGCCCACGCACAGCTTAAGGTAGGAAAGTAATTTTTAAACTCTATGTTGTTCTGAGATGGACAAATAAATGGGTTTTTAGGTGAAATAGGTGAAAATTAATGGAATATTCAAAATGTATATGCTGGGAATGCCCTTTGGAGACTCATTTAATGGAAAAGCTCTTCATTCACACCCTTAAATGAGATGCTTGGAGTTAGATAATGATCTATTTGTTGTATGCCAGTGAATTATGATAAATCTAGGAGATTAAACCCCTTACAAATGCTTAGTTACTTTATAATTCCAATTGTAATATTTCTATAATTTATGATTATATATTTTTAGTCGATATTTTATATTTATATAATGTTTTCTATTAAAACACAAAAGTAAGTGTTTACTTTGTAGGCAAACTGTTTGAACAGAAAGTCTTTTTTACAAGGATTGTCTCCATGAGTTTGAATGGCCAGCAGTGATTCCACTCTGACCTTGCTTTCACCAATGTGAAAAGAGTTAATACACAATGTTTATTAAAACTATTATGGTGTAGATGTTTTATATACACCTGCCAGACACCAATATTTTTATTTTTCTCTATAAATACAGTACATTATATATAGAGAGAGATGCATTATGTATCAAATAAACAAATAAATAATATAAATATATCAATTAATTAAACAAACAATATAATACATATATTATAAAAGCACATAATCTCTAAAACTACTGAAAAAACTCATGTCTATGGCCCTAAAGGACTAAATTCTGCACATCTGACCCTTTGCATACATTAATTTTTTATTAATATTAATAAAATCTTATTAATGATATGTTTTTATTACTAATATGTTTTATATTAATATTTTCCCCAACACCCTCCCCCCCCAAAGCTGTTGCAGTTGGCTCTGCAGTGGATGGAGCTGCAACTTGTTTTTTCTTTTCAGGAGTTTCCTGGCAATCTTTTGGAGCCTGTTTGTCTTGGCACCCCCCTGCCACATTACCCAGTCCTCAGCCTCACATCTAAAAACCCTGTTTACGACATTTTGTGCTTTTGGAATATATTTCTGTCGTTTCAAAACGTGATTTAAAGTGTCTCATCCCTGAGACACTTGTTAATTTTCTATCTGTTGTATCTGTATTTTTAAAATTTTTGTTGATCCAACTCTTTTATTTAGAGCAACTCTCACTATAGGACTTCAAATATTTCAACTTGGCAAATGGTCAGGATTTTTATAAGTGAATCCATTCTTCTCTCCCAACATCTGCTCTCAATATTCCCAAATGTTTTTGGGTTGTTCTCCTTTCACGTGGAGGGGTTTGTTTGCTTTTTTTTATAAACTACACAGAGAGGTTGGGTCTTGCCTCATTGATGCTGCTGATAAAAATGGGCACTGATTTTGAGAAAAATCAGACTTTAAGGCAAAGGAGGGGAGGTTGAAACATATTTATTTATTTATAAGGCAAAATAGTCTCTGAAAGATTAACTTACCACTGGGACAACAAACACTCAGATCATTGGCCAAGGAGATCTCACGTTATCAAATTCTTCTCAAATTGCATCACCTGAAGCTTATGGAGGACAGAAAAACTGGGAAATCTCATTAGAAATTCCTTCTGGCTACAACAAATCTGTGAAAAATCTAGAAATCCTGGTTTGTAAGTTAACAAGGAGCGAGTTTTTCGTGAGTCCAAACCATAAATGTAAGAATTTCATCAACTCTTTCCCAAAAAACACCATCTCTGTGTCACTTTTTGGCTTTCACTGGAGCAGAGGCATCCAAGGAAAGAGATATTGGAAAAGCAGGTGAATGTCTTCAGGTTAGACCTGCCAAATCCCACTGGCTGCTTTCATTTTGGATGCATTTCCCCCCTTAGACCATCTTCTTGTCCACGTAATATTTTAAAACATTTTAAAATCCCGACTTGTCGCTTTTGCAGGGAATTTCACCAGGAGCAAAAGTCAAACTAGGAGTTCACAGAAACCAAAATATCCCGTGGAAAATAAGTGAGTCACCTCTGTGTTGTCATGGTGGAGCCTTTTGTTGGATGGAGTACACCTGAGAAAACAACAGGGAGAGGATCAGGAATAGTCCAGAGTCTAGAAAATTTGACCTGCAGGAAAGATGGAAAGAACCTGATAATTTTTAAAGAGAGACCTAAAGATACAATAAGAGCTGTAACATGATTTTCCTGCTACAAGGAGGCACTAAAGAACCTGTTACTTTGCTAAAGAAAAAAAGAAGAAACAAGCCAAGAATTAAGGAAAGAGTTACGGAAGAGCTAAGGAAATAGTTAAGGAAGAGTTAAGGAAAGAGCTAAGGAAAGAGTTAAGGAAAGCTTCCCTTCCCCTTCAATTTATATAAGATTTGTCTGGTACATATTTAAATGTGGAAAACTTGGAAGAAAGCTAAAGAATGTCAGCTGAGTGTCTCCAAGTGCCTGTGGACAGCTGTGGAATATCTTGGTGCCGAGAGGTTTCTGCCGGGATTTGCAGGTGAGAACTTTCCCGCTCACTGGAGGGGCAGAAGTGTCACTGGGGGTGTCACTTCACTGGCACTGCAAAATACTCCCCATGCCCAGTTACTCCTTCCTCTAAAACATTTACTGAACCCTGCAGAGCTTTTGGTAGAATCCCAGGATCACTGAGGCTGGAAAAGCCCTCCCAGCCCATGGATCCCCC